TCAACTCATTGAAGCTGCTAGACTTTTTGATGGGTTCTGCTTGTTCTACACACATTTTTCTATGACTTTTTAACATTTCAAGCAATTTTTCGTATTTTAAGCCGAATTTAAGCCTTTTTTGACCTCGAAAAAACTCGAAAAGAAATTTCTTGAACGATGTAAAGATTTTTTTATAATTTATTGAAGCTGCTAGATATTTTTTTAATGCGTTCTTCTTGTGCTATATAATTTTTTCTATGACTTTTGGACCTGATTTTTTGATGAAGACTTTCAATTTTCAGATGTTAGCTGGACAAGGCCGTCGGATATCACAAATACCAGATTTGGAGCCCAAATCCAAGCATTTTCTAGGCCCGCCGCCGGCTTCCCTTATTGGAAAAGTTTATTTTTATTCTTATCATGGAAAATAAAGGAGAAAATAGAGATTCCTCTTGCAAATTAGTCACTTCTCTTTCATAATGAGAAACGCCAGAGTGGTCCCTAGAGGGGTGAGGGAAAAATAGTCCCTATAGGGGACAAAATAGGGCTCCCTAGAGAGGTTATATTTAGGGGATAGGTGGTTGAGGTTTGGCTTTTAGGCCCCTAAAGCTTAAGTGGTCCTTATAGTGGTGTTTAAAATTTTAGTTAAATGTGAAAATTGAATAAAACTAGAGTTCATAACAAATAGCGTGCTCCCCTTGAGTGGCCACTAAGTAAAACCCCTATGGTGACCCCTTTTGCAAGCTCAAGTGGCCCCTAGAGGGTAACCTTTGAGAATTTTCGGTTCATATTTACGTCGCGGTGTATTGTGGCCAATACAGCTGACCGCACAGGCAGGAATTTTTATTTTTGGTAACGCCGCTTGCTTGCCCCTCTAGGGACCACTCTGACGCCTCTCCTTCAAAGAATTCAAGTGATTATTCATTTTCCAGGTCAAATATTACTACGACAAGTACCGATGTCGCCACTTTGCCCCCTTCATTTTATTAGTTCTTTATTCGGTTTTCGGCGCCTGGATGTTCTACGTCATTGAACATGACTATGAGAAGGACGTCAAAGCGTCAGTTTTCATAGATTTTGTCAATTTAGTTGAATTAGGATGAATAAATGGTTCCAGAAAAGAAGCGGTCGATTTGCGGAGTTTGAGAAATGATACGTATCATCGGATAGCGCGGATGGTTCGACAGGGCAACTATGCAAACGCCAATTATGGGTAATTTTGATCTTCAGAGGAGAACAAAAAAAAAAAACAAATTGAAAGACCCTATAGGGACCACTTAACCTTTAGGGATTAAAGGGGTCAGACCTTAAACCCCTATAGTGATCACTTTTTAGGCCCCTGAGGCTTGTTTTCCTTTTACCCCTAAAGGGACCACCTTGATTTTAATCCTATAGGGGCCAATTTTTAGGACCCTATAGGGGCTGTTTTCACCCTAACCCCTATAGGGACCACTCTGAAATTTCTAGGTAGAAAATTTTTGAGTTTTTTCTAGATTGTCCAAATGGTCGTTTCAACGTTTAGGAGTTCAGCGAAGGGTCTGAATTTTGATTAATTTTTGAGAAAGGGTCAGAAATTTGTAATGAATTACAGTTTTTTTTTGTATTTAAAGGCCTTTTAAAGCTCATTTCTTCCAAATTTGGTCAATTTTATATATCCTGAACATTTCAGGGTATGTTTTTCTAGAAGTTTATGGAGGGATTTATTTCGATTTTCAAACAATTTCGAGATTACGATAGCAATCTTTTGGGCTGAAATTTTTTTATTTTTAAGTTATTTTCTAGATTTTTCAAATGGTCGTTTCGAAATTTTAAGGGTCCAGAAAGGGAATCTGAATTTTGGTGAACCACAGCCTTTTAGTTGATTTTTTTCAGGCCTTTTAGAGATAGTTTCTTCCAAATTTGGTCATTTTTTGATTTTCAGCTTATTTTCTAGATTTTTCAAATGGTCGTTTCAAAATTCAAGGGTCCAGAAATGGAGTCTGAATTTGAATGAATCACAGTCTTTTAGTTGATTTTTTTGAAATTAGTTTCTCACAAATTTTGTAATATTTCCTGAACATTTCAGGGTATGTTTTCTAGAAGTTATGCAGGGATTTATTTCGATTTTCTAGAAATTCCGAGAATTTTGATAGCATTTTTTGGGGTTTTTATGAGTCGATTGTGAACAATTTTTTGTTGGAGAAAGTCAGAGAAGAACTGAAGAGAGTCCAGAGAAGTTAAAAAGTCTCTCTTTCTCTGGAGTATCTTCAGAGTGCGGTGCTATTTGGGTTTCTTCTCAGCCTTTAGAATAAATTTTGACGTTTTCAAGGATTTTTCAAAGTTTTTCTATGATGAAAATGAAGTGTTTTTCTTTTTCATATCTTCCTATTTTGAACCCTTTAGTGACCTCTTCATCGACTATGAAAAGCAGCTTTTGAAAGTGAAGCTGCCGGATTGCCTCGACTGGGACATGTGGGGCGCCTTGTTCTATGTCGGAACGCTTTTCACGACCATTGGTATGCTGTAGAGAATTACGATATCAATCCTGCCGATTTATAGGATACGGTAACATTGCGCCAAGGACCCACACGGGAAGGGCATTGTCTGTGGTCTATGCCATCATTGGTGGGTTTTTAGGAAAGAAAATGAGATTTTAAGGCTTTTATGAACGTTTTTAGTAGATACAAGCCATGGCGTTTTCGCAAGCTTTCATTTAAAAAAAAAAAAAATTTCGTGTGCCAGAGCGCCGCAGTGTGTGCACACGACACAATACACTTTACGAAAAAAAAATAAAATGTCGCCAAAAAAGCTTCTAATCGAGTGGAAAAGTTGATTTTTAGCTTCAAAATGAGCAGAGTTAAAGATTTTCATACTTTTCTGCTTTTTTGGTCAAGTTAGATCCATCACAATCAGAATCCTAGCTTTTGAAGCTCATAAATTTAAAAAAAACTTATTGAAAATCGTAGGAATCCCATTGGTCCTGGCGATTCTATCCCAATTCGGCAAGGTTTTGACGAATTGGGTCTCGAATATGTGGCTCCGCTACCGTCATCACATCAAGGAAGCTTCAAGGAAAACGACGAGTCGATTGAGGAGAAAGCCCAAGTTGGTATTGGTGACAAAATGGGCTTGGGAACTTGGGGCCGTTTCTCGGATTTTCATGATTTCATGAATGAAATTACATTTTTTGGACTTTGGAGGGCTTTTGTAAGATAAAATTGACCTTTGGAACTCCAGAGTGGCCCCTATAGGGGCAACTTTAGGGACCACTTTATGAAGCCCTATAAGGGCCAATAAAGCTTGCCAAAGTGGTCCCTCTAGGGGACATGCTAGTCGATAACTGTCATGAACTCTAAGCGAAGAAGCATTTCCATAGGATTGAGCGTCTTTTTTGAACAAAATTGAAAGACCCCTATAGGGTCCACTTGAGCTTTCATGGCGAAGGGGTCAGACCCTAAAGCCCTATAGGGACCACTTTTCCTGTCCTTATAAGGATTGTTTTCCCCCTTAGCCCCTAAAGGGACCACCTTGATTTTAACCCTATAGGGACCACTTTTCAGGTCCCTGTAGGGGCTTTCTCTATTCTAACCCCTATAGGGACCACTTTAAAATTCCTCATTAAGAAACTTTTTTCAAACTTTAGGGTATTTCGTAGATTATCGAAATTTAGAAATTCAGAAAAGGGTCTGAATTATGATAAACCTTTGATAAAGACTCTAAACCCCTATAAGGACCACTTTTTCGGTCCTTATAAGGGCTTTTCCCCCCTAGCCCCTATAGGGACCACTCTGGAACTCTTAAGAAAATGCTCTAGCGACAAAAAGCAACTTTTTTGTTCCACGATAAAAGAATTTTCCAGTAATCGTCGCCAAAGAGCCATGAAGGACGAAAAAAAGGTTCCCAATGTGCCGAGGGATGAATGGAAAATATTTTGATTTTGGGGAAAATATTCGAATTTTTCGCACTTTGAGAATCCAAAAGAGGACAGGATTACCATGACAAAAAAAAAGGCGTCGCTAGGAACATGAAAGGAACATGAAACTAAAAAAAGGCATCTGATGAGTCATCAATGATTTTTGAGATAATAATGCCATTTTTTAGAGCTTTTCATATTGTTGTATAGTGTAGAACGATCTCTAACACTCCTTTGAGTATATATTTATCTCACAAATATATATACACTTAACTACTATACAAAAAATCTAGAACAACTATTCATTACCAACCAAATATTGAGGTATAAACATTTTAGGCCGATAGTGGGTTCTACGCAGAAATAATGTACACTAGCGCGCACATGAGTTGTGTGTAGGTTTACGGGGATTCCGCATTCCACAACACATATTTTTTTAAATATCATAAGAGCTTCTATTTTTTTGCACTGCAAAGTCTAGTAGAAAAAAAATTCCATCCAAAAAAATTTTTTTATTGATTGTTCAATTTCACCCGTGATGGTTACGTTTCAAAGCGGCTATGAATATAAAATGATATAAGAATGGATATTAGGTCCATAACATTGGCAAAAATAGTTATAATTTCCATTGCGATTCTTTTTTTGGATGTTGTTGCTTGTTTTCCGAGACGTTTTTTTCGAATTTTTTTTGTTTTGAAATTACTTGAAACTTGAAAAGTTTCGATGATTTATTATTATAAACATCTTGAAAAAAATCGTTCAAACTAATTTTTACACGTTAATTTTTCATCGAATGATTTTTTTCAAAAGATAATTTTTTTAATATAGAAATAACTTGCTGATTCTTCATTTGAAATTCCACTTAAGGAACGTCAGAGTGGTCCCTATAGGGGCGACCTTAGGGCCCTTGGAAGGTTCCCTCTAAGGACCACTAAAGCTTGCAAAATGGGTTCCTATAGGGGTTTTAGTTGGTGGCCCCTATAGGGGACATGCTAGTCGATAATTATTATAAACTCTAAGCGAAGAAGCATTTTCATGGGAAAAAAAGCGTTTTTCGAATAAAATTGAAAGACCCCTATAGGACCCACTTGAGCTTTAGAGGCTTAATGGTCAGACCTTGAATCCTCTATAGGGACCGCCTTGATTTTACCCCTATCGGGACCACTTTTTTGGCCCTTATAAGGGTTGTTTTCCTTCCTAGACCCTATAGGGACCACTCTGTGTGTGTGTGATTGGGGGCTTTTTAAAAAAAAATTTTTTTCCACTTTTTTTCATGGTTTCTTTTTGACCGATTTGAAGATTTGTTTTTTTCAAAAAAATTGGAACTTCTACGTGATTTTTCAGAGTCACAATCGATGATATTGAGAACGGAAAGTATGAAAATGTCGACCCGGAGGATTTGGAATCGAGGTGATTTTTTATTGGATTTTTCATCGATTTCTGCTGATCTTAACGTCAAATTTTCAGTTTTGGAGAGAGTTTTTGTGAAAATTGTGGCTTATGTGCTCCTGAAAAATTGAACAGTTTTTTTCAAAAATTTCAAAATTGGTTACTTTTTTTGAGACTTTTTAGACATTATAGACTGAAAAAAATATTGTATTTGAAAGGAAAAATAGTGCGAATTTTTGATCTTTTTTTCTTCATTTTTTTCCAAGATTCTGATGGGTTTTTAAAGATGATTTTTCACTTTATTTGAAGAAAAAAATTAATAATTCTCAAAAAGTCGGTAATTTTTCACCAAAAATGGTTCAGAACCATTCCGATTTGGCTGGCTCTCATGATCTGCATCAGTTGGGTGTGTTTCTGCGCCGGACTTTTTCTGGTTTGGGAGAAACGGTGGACTTTTTTCACGAGCCTCTACTTTTTCTGCATCTCCCTGTCTACGATTGGGTTGGGTGAGTTTCTGGATTTTTTGAACTATGTAGTAAATTGGAAATTTCGTTTGAAAAGGCTTTTTTGATTTTTGAAACTTGATATATTCAGTTATTTCGTTTTTTTTTTGTTCTGAAAAGAAGTTGGTAGAAACTCAAATTTCCCAGGCGATGTCGTCCCGGACCATCCCCACATGTTGATTCTGATGTTCTGGCTGGTGATCATCGGATTATCGATCGTTTCCATGCTCTTATCAGTCATCCAAATCAAAATGGAGGAGTGGCTCTACACGTTGATGATCCGCATGCAGGTATAGCTGATTCGAGCCATTGAAAAATGGGTCCTGACACGAAAAAAAGGAGATAGTGTCTGATTGATGGAGAGCGCAGACAAAAGCTCTTGAGATTAGTTATAAATCAGACTCAGTGAGGATAATCCTAGTAGAGCTGATTCACGGCTGACTTGAACCATTAAAAAAATGGGTCCTGACACGAAAATGAGAGATAGTGTCTTTTCGGTGGAGAGCGCAGACAGGCCACGCCCCTTTTTGCCTGAATCGGCTATAGAGAATGGGAAAAAAATGATAATTTAGTCCTTCAATTATTTTTTTGTAGAATCCGAATTTTTTTGACTTTCATGTGTATTAAAGAATTTTTACTGAAAGACTTAACGGAAATCTTGTTTTTGGCCTAAAGAAGTTGATTTATTTTCGTGAAAAAATTATCAATTTCATTGTATACTTTGTACTTTGTACTCTTCGAATAATAATAATAAAAAAATAAATAACTGAATTTTTTCCAGAAAGAGTACCAACGAGCCCTGGCGAGCGGAGAAGACGTCGACAAGGAGGAGATCATCAAAAACGTGATGTCCCATGAGCCGGCCTGGTTCCGACATCTGGCCCCGACGATGCTCACGGGAGAGCAGAACGTCAAGTTGGAGCAGAAGGTGCAGAAATTTGACAGTAAAAGGAAACTAGAAGAAAATTGAAGTGGAAAGAATGAAGAGAAGAGAAGGACAAAAATTAGAACGGAAGAACTGTGAAAAAGACAAAAATTGGACAAAATTAGCACAGGAAGACGAAGAAAATCACAAGTTAGGGTGGAAAAAGAAGAAAACGAAAAGTTACAATAGGAAGGAAGTTTAAAAAAAAGACATAACTGCTGCTCATAGTTTCATCTACGGATACTATTGGTGCCCATCTCCAATCCCTTTACAAAATACAACAAGTAGATCGAATCAACTGCGAGGAAATGGTCTCAAAATAGAGCGGCCTCTACTTTCTGACATACACTACCGGTTCATCAATCAAAGAGTTTACAATCATTGGAATCACATGGATAGAAACATAGTATTTGAGTATGAAAAAAATAAGTTCAGATCTAAACTTGAGAAATGGTTTGAAAACAACATTACAGAACTAAACACTCTTGATCCAACAAAAATATGAAAGCTACATAATCGACATCTAAAAGAATAACTTCATGGTTATTCCAATTTACTCAAGTGGGGGGTTAACACGACCGCGAGTCCTCTTCCCTCCATCACCACAAGTTCCGACACATATGTTCCCAAACTCTCCCTACATCTATTTCGCGAAATTTAGTACTTGTGTGTGAGAAATAAAACATTTTGATTGATTGATTGAAAATGGAGAAAAGGGCAAAAATTAGAGCTGGAAAAAATAATTAAATTAATATGTTAGCACCGAAAAATGAATATAAGAACCAACTACAATAAAAAAATAAAGAAAAAGGAAAATATTAGCGCAGGAAAACGAACAAAAAAAAAAAGTTACAGTAGGAAAATGCAGAAAAGGACAAAACGTAGAGCTTAAAAACGAAGTTAGAACAAAAAAATGGACACAAATGGAGTAATTTTTGAAAAAAACATTGCTTCCTTTTAAAAATAAGCTTATATCAAGAAGAATTCCGTGTCTCAAAAATGTTCCGAAATGAATATCCTTTCTATCTGTACCCTAATTATTTGCGTTGTTCTGACAATAAAGAAATAAATAAAATATTTTTTCACGTTCTGTCAGATTTTTTCAACCAAAAGCAACAATTCTGAAATCAACGCGGCTATGAACTCTGTCTACGTAAAAAAAAAGTCGGATTTTGGAAAAATTTAAATTTAAGTCTCAGCTTCTTTTTGGTCGTTGTTTATTAACTTTTTCATGGGCCATTTTTTTTTTGTTGAAGAATCTTCTTTTCGGCTCTTTTTCAAAAAAACTTTAAGGCCGAACAGCTGGAAAGGCTCCTGAAAGAGAGCAAAGACGTCCAGACTGACGGGCCATTGGCTCACGGGGCTGGAACTCAGGTCGAACGGTATGAACAGGTAATTTTTCGAGAGTTTATCCCGTGAAATCTATGATTTTCTAGAGTATGGCCTGTGACCCAATGTCCAACGATGTGCTACCATTGCACCAGGAAACGCAGTGGTCCACGTGAGTTTGGAAAAATGATCCGATCAATGTTTGTTGGGACCAGATTCCAAGTCTTGAGAGGGATTTTTTTGACGCCCCCCGTTTTTTTCTTTTGCGTCGGCTAAATCCAAGGATGGGCGAACTTTGGCCTACCCCTAACCCCCCATTCGCAAAGAAAAAAATACGGCCTGTTCCAGTACATTTTTTTGAGTATTTTTTTCCCGCGCAATATATTGGGGAATGATCCAGTCTACGTATTATTTCGATAAGTTTTTTTCCTGTTCAGAAATCAGAAGGTCTTTAAGATTATCCCAGCCAAGCCTCATCAAAATTTCAACCGGGGGACTAGAAAAAATTCCATTTTAATGAATTATGAAGTCTACCTCACTTTTTGCGGGGTGTCTTTAGTTTTTTAAATAATATTTTTGTCTCGAAACTGCGGAAAAGGGGCTTGAATCTGAACCACAGTTCCGAATTTGACAGGTCATATCAACTGGCTAGGATTGGGCTACGAGTCATTTTTGTGACACTTGTTTAAAATTCTGTGCTTTTTTTGCTTTTCTAGCTTGTAGAGCTGTTTTTTTGAGATTCATTCCAGCAAAAAGGTTCATGTTGTTTTTTAAAAAGGCAAGGCTAGCTGATCAAGTTTTCAGTTTCACTTTCTTCAATATTCCTTTAGGCTTTGTTTCCAACTTTTATGAGGTTTTTTTTTTCCACCAGAAAGGCTCTATTTTGGATTAGATCGTAAAAAAGGGCGTGGCCATCCAATTAGAGACCTAAAACCTCTTCTATGTCAGTCAGTATCACCCGTTAGGCTAATAAGTCATTCGCGAAACGGGTGTTCTTCAGAAGCTACTGCCAATCACATGGTGTTTTTAAACGTTTCGGGTGATTCCCGGGACTTAAACGGGGGACTGGGCTCTTACGTAGAACCGCTGGACTTAAACGGGGTTTATTCGAAGCTGAAAATTGCGTTTCGGGTGCTCGGCTGGACTTAAACGGGCGATCGGCGGTCGCCTCAGCGGGTGTTACTGTCGATAGCCCGTTTTTTTTGGCCAATAAAATATGAGAGTAGCTCTTCAGACCCTGAAAATAAGAACCCTACAGAACTGGGATATATTTCAGTCAGAGAGTATCCCCATCGGTGCCGCATTCTCCAATCGCTCTCCACTCGGTCCAAGACGAACGCGACTCGATCTCGGACGCGACGAGTCTTCCTCTCGACTCCGTCAGCCTCGCCGGTCGCAAGGCGTCGCAGAAACGCGTCGCCTTCTGCGAAACTTGCGCGAAACGAGGCGGCCATGCTACCGCCGAGGAGTGCGCCCAGACCGACTTGGCCCAGTTCCAAATCGATGAGATCGCCCTGAGGCTGGCTGATTTGCAGGTGGGTTCTGGAAATAGGAAGATTTTGAAACTTCTAAGGTCTTGAAAAAAATAGGCTTTGAGGTTACTTATCATGAGAACGTCGAAAGAGCCCTAGAATGGAAAAAGAAAAAGTTATTCTATGAAAAAAATTATTTATAGATTAATGGCAAGAAAAAGTGAACGAATTCGAAAAACTTTAAAAAAAGAAGTTTGATTATGTAAAAGTTCTTTCATAGCTAACTCGAGGAACTTTCTGAAGGATGTGACCAAACGGAAGGCGAAATAGCGTATGAGAAGAAGAGGTTCAGAAAAAGTTGTACCATGTTTCTATAAATTTAAAACCCCTCGAAGGTGTCCTTAAATAAACTTTCCCATCTCCATTCCTCTCAAGAACAAGATTTTGTTATCATATTTTCTGGGTTTTTGAAGGGTATAAAGCTCAAAATGGTTTGGTTTCAGTTTAAGCGAAGTTGAATTTATATTCTCATTCAGAACTCCCGGGCTTGTAATTCAGAAAAAATGTCCGAATATCTCATTTCTACCCTTCCAGGCCAAGAAAATTCACCCACCACTGATGGAACGAAGCATGGAGACTTCAGCAATCTTGGATTCTTTGCTGAATTCGGCACAACTTCAAAAATCGGCAAATAATTCGGTCGATGATCGGAGTATCCAATGTGATAGTCTACGTGTACCTCATAGGGTCGGGTTATTTTTCAGGAGTTCAAAAAGTTGAAAACGAAACTTTAGGACGAGGGAATCTTGACGGATTCGGTTGATACAATGAGTTGTGCAGTGGGGACGGAAAGGGAGGCCAAGGCGATTTTGGTGGGTTTCTGGAGTGGAGATTAAATTCTGGGATTTTTAAAGGCATAGGGACAGTAAAAAATGGGGTTTCAGGTGAAAACAGTATCTTATACAGTTTTTCTTTGCCAATCGAACAGTGTACTCAAAAAAAATTACAGATGTGACTAATTTTGAAGAAAAACGCGATTTTATTTTCCCCCCTTTAATTTTGAAAAATGCTTTGGATTGGCATACGGACAACTGTTTACAGTAGCCGTGCACGCGATGTTGAAAATCCAAAAAATGGCAAAGCCTGTTGTCCATAGAGCAACTTTACTGCAAAGCGCCCTTTTGGCGGGAACTCAAGATTTCCTTTCTCCGAGTTTGAATTATATTTTCTCCAAAACTAGGAACTTCCGTACGTTTTCAAGTTCACCGTTCGATTCGCAATGAAAAACTCTACAAAGTACTGCTTTGTACTGAAACACCGTTTTTTACTGCCCCTATGCCTTTAAGAAAAAAGTGAGGAGTGGATTTTATCTAGCTTCGCTACTCTCGATTTTTTTTTTTTGATTGCCTTGAGCAAATTCCTGAGTTTTGGGAAAAGTTCAAAGAAAATTTTTTCGAAATCCTATCGAAATAAAATTATCTTATTAGTAAACGTTTTTTTTTCCGGTTGAAATTTTGATGAAACCTTCCCAAAGTGTTCTTCCGGACCTCCTGATTTTTAAAACAAGAAAAAAATTCCCATTTTTTTCTCGAATTAGGACGCTTCACAACCTTGAAATAGCTCTTTTAGTAAAAGTTTCAAACCTATATCAATACTCATATTCTCATATCATTTCTATTCATAGCAACTTTGAAACCTAGAAATGACGGGTGAAATTGGATAATCAACAAAATGATCAATGAAATGAGAGGGAATCAAGATGGAAATCTCCATAGACGAATTGAGAAAGGGTGTCGCGAGACCCTTTGGGGTATATCGAAGGGTCTGAAGTCTAACCATGGTACCACGGGTATACCTCTGAGGATTTTGAGCCAAATGCGATGGACTTGACCCTCAAGTACCTCCGATAGGGCTCACTAGAGAGCGTTTTTACCTTGAACTTTTGATGAAACTTTCCTGAATTGTACTTTAGGACCTCCTGGTTGGAAAAAAAAACGCAGGAAATGTCTCGCAATCAATCTTATTTTCGAATTAAGACACTTCAAAATACGGCGTTTTAAACGGGATGGGGAGACGTCAAGAAAGTTTAGGCGCGAAACGTGATATCTCAAGTACGCAGCCAAATGTATTCGTCATGCCGTTGAATACTCAGTTTAATTTGCAACGATAGGTGATGGTACGACAAAATCTCAAGTCCGCAAATTTCGAGGACCGTAATCTTGTGTACGCAGATCTAAAGTCCCATAATCTTGGAAACCAAAATCTTGGAAAGCAAAAATCTCCCTTTTTAGTCTTCTTTATTGCACTTTATCTACTTATATTCTCTTGTTTGGATCACTGAATACAATTTCTGATAAAATCTATTCGCAAAAGCGTTGATTTTTACTTTCCAAGATTGTGGTTTCCAAGATTTTGGTCTCCAAGATTATGAGACTTTAGATCTGCGTACACAAGATTACGGTGCTCGAGATTTGCGGACTTGAGATTTTGTCGTACCATCCGATAGGTAGCTGTGACGTCACAGTCCTTTTATCCGAAGCGCGCACTTACTATTTTTTGTAAATTCAAGAAACTTTGACGCCTCGCTCACCTTCCCTCACCCCATTAGGAATGCCGTGAAAAGCTTGAGACAGCTCTTTCTGTCATAATTTGCGTGTTTTGCAAACATTGAAGCTTCATAACTCGAAAACCAGATCTAAGTTTGTATTTCTTGTTCTGAAATCAGGAGGTCCTATACACTCCAGCAAGTTTTCAACAAAATATCAACCAATGGAAAAAAACATGCCCTAGTTGAAGTAAAACTGCATTAGAAAATCTTTTTTTTGAACTTTTGGTTTCCCTAGGAAGTTTTGACTATCATGCGAGTTTTACTGGTTTTGAACTCCTATTTTACCCCCTTATTTTTATTACAAATATTTTTTTAGTGTAATTATACTTTTTTTCGATTCTACACGGTTTCATTAATAAGCTTGGTGGAAATTGTCTTTAAAAACCGATTCTGAAACATTAAATTACACTTTTTTCGAGTAGAAATTAATTTTTCTCACAAAATTTGAAAAATTATGACTATCTGATGGAAAAAAATCAATAGAAGAGTCTAAATTTTGAAGTAAAAAGTTTTAAAAAACCATATTTTTCCATTAGTTTGTATGAAATCCTTGTTGGGATGTTTAAAAGCGCAATTATATTAAGGTCTCAAGACGAAAATCTTTTCATAGTGTTATTTTTAGTTATGCTAGACCTGCGCCTTTAAACTTCTGGCAAGGATTCAAGAAGATAGACTAATCAAAAACTTCTCAGGACCGTGGGATCAACACCTCGACGCCCAGAATGACGACGTGCGGCACGAATCCCGACGCTCCAGTCAGCCGAAGTAGGACCTCGGCGACGTCGCCGATCCCGCGTCATCTGACGACGTCGAAGGCGACCAGCATCGATTCTTTGAGTCAACACGACGAAGCCAACCAAACCTCTCGGAAGGACCAATGCGACGCCGGCGTCGAAACCACCGCACGTCATCTCGTCAACCGTGACGTCATGACCTCGCCGACCCAGGAGAAGATCGTCGCCAAGACGACCAGAGCCTCGTCGACGTCCGAAATGACGTCAGACCTGAAACCGGTCCTCGTCGACCGGCCGACGTCGCCTCTGGTCCCCATGGCGACGGCGAATCGGACGACGTCGCCGATGGGAGTCGAGGACGACGAGAAATCCATCGATGATAGGTCCATCCAGACCTCGATCGCTGATTGGTTCGGCAAGCTGATCTCGAAAAAAGGTTTGGAAAATGAAAATAGCTTTCTGAATGGTTATTTTGTGATTTGAAATGAAAATGGCCTGTAGTTTTATTCATTTGCGCTCTATAGAGAAAAGGAAGAAGTAGGAACTTGAACATGGTAGTTGGAAAAATGTCCAGTGGTCACTTAAGAGGGTCCTCGAGGACTACTTGGAGAGAACACTAAAGGGGCCACTATTTTGCGTTTTAGTGACCGCTATAGTGGTTTTTAGTGGCACAGTAGTACTTCTTAGACTTTCATAGAGGCCACTAATTTTAAGCCACTTAGGTGGCCACTTGTTCGACCACTTTAATGGCCACTCAAACGACAAAACTTTAAAGTGGACACTAAAAATTTTTCCAGTAATTATTCAAAGTAAGCTTAAAATGTTCAGCAAGTGCGCTCCATTGAGAAAGTTGAGAAGTGATTCTTTTTACAAGAAAATTGAGAGGAAAAAGTAGAAAAATTAGCTCAAAATGATCACCTGGGACGTTTACGCTTAAATTTTTTTTTGTGAAAAAAAATTGAGCTTTTTTTTCAAAAACTACTCGTTTCAGACGAGACCCAACAGACGTCGCTGAGCGAAGACGTCAAAAAGTTGAGCAAGAAGAAAAAAGACGAGAAGAAGAAGAAAATGAAGAAAATGGGCGAGGCGACGACGTCATCCTCATCTGACGTCGCTTCTGAAGCCGCGTCAAGGAAAGATGACGTCAAAGCGAAGAAAGATGACGCGATTCCGTTGGTCATGACCGAGAGTGTTGAGATTAGGTGATTCCGAGAGACAAAGAGGATTCCTATTTGAAAAAGCCATGCTCTAGAGTGGAATGACGGTTTTTTCAAAGTGCGACCGACTTGAAATGACTTGCGCAATAGTATTAGGAATTTTTTTGTTCAAGATAGATGGCCTTTTCGGGATTTTTCTGCGCTCTCCTCGTCTCACGTGCTATTTTCATATTTCTCTGACCTCGTCGGTGAGGGAACAGAGAGACGCAGACGCTCTAAAACTTACAATTTACGCGGAAAGACTACTCGGAGCTTGGTAACGACGTGTCGGAGCATTCCTAGGGACCACTATAGTAGTCAGCACCCTTAAGGGATCCCTAGAATTGCTCCGATTTCGTTACCGAGGTCCGAGTACATAGCTGATCCACTACTGACTGGAGTCATCGAAACAAGGGTCCCGACACGAAAAAAGAAATAGTGCTTGACTAGTGGAGAGCGCAGACAGGTCACGCCCCTTAGCCTCACAAGCAAGCCTCAAATCGGCTATAGCCATTCCAAGTGCGACCAGTATATTTTAAATAGTAACGAATGGACTATATTATTGTATTCAATTTCAGCACTCAATATTCGCCGCCCCTCGGTGCCCGTGACTATTTATTGAGCTCCCGGGGCGCTTCTGAACCGTAAGAACTTGATTTCAACCCTGAAACATTGTTCAATTTGAGCCATCGAGCTAGGTCCAGCTCAACGTCGGGCATCGGAAATAGCGTGTTTGAAGAGGAGGCGCGACAGGTATGTAGTGAACAGAAAGGAGAAAAAAAAAGAGATTTTGTTTCCTGTAGTTTGAGGTCATACGAATAAAACAAAAAAGTGAGAATTTTTTTCTATTTCGGACTTAAAAGTGACCCAGCTCTGTGCGTTTCGCGAATTTCTCGATGAATCTAATATTTTAAAACCCAGCGGAAAATCTGAACGAAAAACTGCTTTCCGAGATTTGAAAAAGGCAAAAATAGGTTTTTCAACCTCTTGGACTAGTCCGATTAAAGGCCAGAAAAAGTCATTTAATTCTGCTCCTTTTTTTGAAATTCCGAGTCAAATTTTTACTTTTTTACATACACATGCTCTAGGGGAACAGTGGATCAGAAAATTCAGTGAAAAAGACAAAAATAAAGTGTTTTTTTTTTCCGTTTTTCAAGAAGGACTACAAAATAGTCCAATTTTCGGTCTGAAAAATTTTCAAAGTTTTTTCTAAACTTTTCTATTCCGACAAGAGAGTCATATTCCCGTTTTCCCGATTGTTTTCTAGACAAGAAAAAATACTCAAAGCTCGGCGAAATTGGTTTTGAAAAAAATGAGAATTTGAGATTTGAATTGGAGTTCCTGATCGACTTCTGAATGAGACTAGGTTCATTTGAGGCAGTTTTTCACGTTGATTCTAAATTTGGTCTTAGAAATTGTCATGGACGTCCGTGAATAAAGTTAGGAGCACTCAAATGTGAAAGGTTTTGAGAACTTAATTTTTCGGGGGGCTATTGAAAAAAATTCAAATAATTTACTTTCTCGAATCTTCTCCGTTATGAAATTCTTTTTTTAGTTATGTTTCAGATCAAAACTCCGAGTTCTGTTCTATGTTTTTCGATTTCCTGTACATCTTTCTAGAAAAAAAAGTCGAAAAAAACCCGTTTTTTCTAGGAAGTAATCGTTCAAACCGACGACTCGTACTTGAAAATCGCCCGACGGTTGGACGAGTACAGGAATAATCGGACCCAATTCCTTCCCGTCTGTGCTGCATCTCCGCTGGACTCCAAAGAAGTCGAACCCTTCAAGTTCGTCATTTTGAGTGGTCCCTATAGGGGTTAGGAGAAGAAACAGTTCCTATAGGGGTCAAAAAATGCTTCCTAGATAGGGTATGCCTAAAGGCATATAGGGTCTCACCCCTAAACCCCTAAAGCTCAAGTGGTCCCTATAGGGGTTGGCAAAGTAGTCCCTAATAGGAACCCTTCAAGAACCTTCAAGGTTGCCCCTATAGGGGCCACTCTCGAGCTCCTACGTAGTAACCTGATTGTATAATTTTTTTCATGAATCATCGTTAAAATTTTTAAAAGCTTCGACTCTAAGGCTTCAATTTTTTTATAATAATGTCGAAAATTCATGGAATCGAAGCCAAAATCACCAAAAAGTTATAGAATTCGTGATAATCCTAATTTTTGATCAAATTGGTATTTCTCCTGATTCAGTTTTTTTGAAAAAAATCAACGGATTTTTGAAAAAAAATGATCGAAAAAAAGTCGATTTGCTCTGCTAAATTTCCCAGGATTTTATGAATTTTTTCTTTTTTTTATGGGCACAATTTCTGTCAGAGAAGATCAAAAAAATTGATTTTTTTATAGGTCAACTTTGATTTTTCTCGTCAAGTTAACTTTCAATTGGTTTTTTATTAATTTTTCTGGTTTTCTAGTTTTTTTCACCTTCAAATTTTGTATATGCTCTGTTCAGATTTTAAATGTTAGGTCATCTCTCAAGCTCCGCCCCTAATGGCCTAATAAACCAATCAGAGAGCGAGCCATCTACAGAGCGTTGTTAAGGGCGGAGTTTGCTACTTGACATCAAAAATCTGGAAAGACTCTATGTTCTGCTCAGATTTTGAATGTTAAGTAATCCCTCAAGCTCCGCCCCTAATGGCAGAATAAACCAATCAGAGAGCGAGCCATCCACAGAGCTTTTTCGAATAAATCCATTGTACTTGACGTTCACAATCTGAACAGCCCTTAGCTTTTCAAAGCAATTATTTCTTGTAAGAAACCATTTTTATCAATCATTTAAGATCGGATCGACCTTCGGAACGTCGGGGATTCTACTGGGATCCGATGCTTAACCGAAGAAGAAGTTTGAGCAAACGACTCAAGAAAATGCGCAACGGGGATATGAAGTTTGAAACTCTTCATTCAAGAAAAAAAAAACATGATTTTCAGTAGTTCCGCTTCACAGACCGGCCAATCGATGGACGCCGAAATGCTCCAGGAAGCCCTGAATCCGGTTTTTTTCTGCATGATTTTTTTATTAAATTTTTGAGATTTTTTTCGGTCTTTGAAAAAAAGATTTCCCTAAGTCAGGACAGACAAATCTGACAAAAATAGACGATTTCAAACCTTTAGCCTTGAAAAAAATCCATTTTTTTAATTGTTTCATTCTGAAAATGTTTAATTTTCCCGCTTTTCCAGAAGTTTCAACGACGGCCACCAAGTCGTAAGCCATAATTTGTTTTGAAAATAGTTTTTAGTTGCTTTTTTTTAGCTTCTCCTTGGTTCTTTGCATGCGCAAGCTTTTTTAGTTGCTTTTCGATTTTTTTCATTTTCAAAAAAATATCTCAATTCAGAGATCCGAGAAGAGTCGGTCGATTTCTCCGCCGGCGAGAACTAGGGGAGTTCTGACCCGAAAAGGATCGCTACCTGTTGGGATCTCACGTGGAAAGGTATAGGATGTCCAAAAAAGTATCCATCTGCGCTTTAAAGGCATAGGGGCAGTAAAAAATGGGTTTTCAGGTGAAAGCAGTATCTTATACAGTTTTTCTTTGCGAATCGAATGGTGTACTCAAAAAAATTACAAATGTGACAACTTTAGAAGAAAAACGCGATTTTACTTTCCCGCCTTTAATTTTGAAAAAAGCTTTGGATCGGCCTACGGACAAATGTTTACAGTAGCCGAGAACGCGATGTTGCGGACGTCTCATTAGACTCGCATTTTGGGAGAAATAACCGGCTATCTGCTTCGAATTAAGGGTTCTTTCTCTGAGAAAACGATTAAGAAAACAGGAAACACTCATTGATAATAAAGAAAACACAAATAATCGCGATCCCAATCGAAACCTGGGTAAAATCATCATTTTTCACGAAAAACGCTTTTTTGCGATCAAAGTTCGCAAATTATACATGAATAGAAAGCTTTTGTGACGAAAAGAACTTTGGTGACAACAGAAAAAATTGAAAATTGAAAGAAACGAAGAAAAAAGCGAAAATCCGGAAGATGGCGAAGCCTGTTGTCCATAGAGCAACTTTACTGCAAAGCGCCCTTTTCGCGGGAACTCAAACGTTCCTCTCTCCGACTTTGAATTATTTTTTCTCCAAAACTAGGAACTTCTGTACGTTTCCAAATTCACCGTTCGATTCGCAATGAAAAACTCTACAAAGTACTGCTTTGAACTGAAACACCGTTTTTTACTGCCCCTATGTCTTTAAAGTTGCTCCAAAGCGACTGTAGTACCTTCCGGGCAAGACCGTCACGTTTTAATAGAACATCAGAAAAAATAGGTACCGTGAGAACAGCTTTTTCGCACTTTGGTTGACCAAATTATAAAAAAACACAGCAAAAAACAACTCCGGAAGTTTCCGAGCATATCTAGGGATCACTTAAGAGTTCTGACACTACTAAAGGGGTCACTAACACGTCCGATGCGCGTTACCGAAGTCTGAGAAGAGTCTTGAAGCGGAGTACTGGGAAAATTTTTAGGAGCCACTATAAATGCCGAGGACTACTTGGAGAGGACACTAAAGTGGCCACTAAACCCACCTCTATAGTGGCCACTATTTTCCGTTTTAGTGGCCACTTCAGTAGTTTTTCATCCAGTTTTCCTTCCAGTGACTCTGATAATTTTAAAACAAACAAATTGGACCAGTTATGTTGATCCATTGTCCCCTAAAGTGGCCCCTAGAACTTTGAGTGGTCTAGTAGTAGCATTCAGACCTCTATAGTGGGCACTAATTTTTAATTTTAAAAAAATTTTTAACCCCTCAAGTGGCCACTAATTTGGCTACTATAGTGGCCACTAAAACGTCAGAACCCTATAGTGGCCACTTAAAATTTTCCCAATAAGGCTAAATTTGATCCAATTACGGTATTTTTGGGAGACGGAAAATGATAAGCTCGCCCGGAGTGGGCTATACTATTGTTTTCTCAGACTTTGAATGTCAAGTCGTCGCTCAAGCTCCGCCCCCTAATGGCGCGATAAACCAATAAGAGAGCTAACCATCCACAAAGCCTTTTTTGGGTGACGTCATTGAACTTGTATTTCGAATTTTGACCCAAACCGCGCGTTTCGATTTCCCGGAAATTGTCCTGTTGGACTTCGGTAGTATAGTCTGTGTGCCAAGAGTTGAAATTTTGCCGAACGACATTCCGCTGTTCCGCTGCGTGCGTTCGCGAAGCGTCTTTCGAATCTAGGTCGCGCTTTCAATTGATTGTTATTGCTGTGGGAGCACAGGAAAGTAGAGTACCTTGATGAAAGAAAAAAAAAATTAAAGGCGCACAGCGGAATGTCGTTTGGAGAAAATCCAGGTCGTGGTACACAGGTTGTAAGATTGCCTAAAATTCTTTAAATGTCTATTTCCTACAACTCTTTTCAATTCCAGGTTAGTGACTACGTCTCGAAACACGAGCGAGGCATCCACAATCCGGCGACGAATCGTCCCCGACCCGTCCAAATCATCCGCCAGTACTCGGTCGACGATTCTGTCGTTTCTCCGGCTCTTTCTTGATTTTTAATTCCCATTTTTTTCGTCTTTTTTATTGTCATCCTACCCTATACGTTCTATGTTGGAAATCTCAGAATTTTTATATTTCTTATGAATTCCCCTCCCCCACCCCCCTCTCAAATTTTAAATTCTTCGGCTCGGAAATTATATAAGTTACTTGCAATTTTATGCTTCTTTGAATGATTTTTTTGTTAAATTTAATCAGTTTCCATATTTTTTTGTACCTTTTTTTCAGTTTCCATTTTTTTCTTCCTGTCAGTTTTTCTTCAATAATTTCTTATTAAGAAAGCTATTATTTTGAAAAATTTACCGGTTTCTTTATGGTCTTTTTTTCGATTCTTGTAATATTCTAGCTGTTATTGCTACCAAGCGGGTATTTTTTTAAAGATCATTTTGAAATTTTTTTACTCCAGCATATAAAGATTTTTTTACTTTTTTATGTTGATAGAGATTTTGTCCTGTTTGCGCCAACCGTTGTGGTTTACTTTTTCTTATTGGGATTCTTTTTTTGAATCATTTTTGAATTATTGAACGGTTCTAAAAATGAGACCAATGCAACACTCAATGCATTTTTTTGGAGTTTAAAAAAATTGAAAAACGGATGATTTTTTTCGATTTTTTTCTAATTTTTTTCTCAGAAAAAAACCGATTTAAACGTTAAAGTATAGGATAAATCAGTGATTATCTTTATTTTTAAAGCCTATTATTGTTGAGAAACCGGATTTTCTAGTAAAAAAAAAAGCGCGCGAATTTTTTTTTCCAAAACCAAAAGCTTCTTGTTCCCAAAGTAATCACAAGTGAGGTAATTTCACTTTGCGGTTGGGATTCTCTTAAAAACTGGCCAAAATGATCCTTGATGTACCAGAAGAAGATTCTGGAAGTTTCAGCCTGCACAACTTTCTACTTTTCGAGAAAAGACGCTTCAAAGAATACGCTCAAAATTCATTAAAATGAGCTATTTTTGGTCTTTAGACACTTATTTCTTGAGAACTAGGAATTTGTGCAGGTTGAGACTTCCAGAATCTTCTTCTGGTACACCAAGGAGTGTTCTGGCCGATTTTCAGGAACGCAAAGAAAAATGACCTTCCCTGTAAGGATATGGAAACATTGAAAAAAGATCAACGGCTTCGAAAAGGGAATTTTTTCAAGCAGAATAGAAAGCTAGTAGAGAATACAGGTGATTCAGATCAATCTGGGAGTTTCACAAGGTTTTGAAATGGGTACTGGCAAAAGGGTCCATTTTTTCCATGGCATTGACTGAAACTAATAAAGTTCGTCATTTCAAAAGGTCCCGAAACGTATATTCCAATGTTAGGAGGGTCAGAAAAATGAAGTTGTCATACGTAAAAATAAAGTAAAAGTTGAGTTTTCGTACGTGAAAGCTCACTTTTTGATCAAAAATCAAAGAATGCAACATTTTCCACTTAAAAACTGAACTAAAACGTGAAAAATTCCATTTTTAGACCTTAAAAATTGTCCAGTTCTAATAAAATGTCACAGAAATTAGATGATCGAAAAATTTCTGTGCTGTCCTTATAAGGAAGGAGATTCGAATTTGTGTTTGGGATTCTCTTAAAAACTGGCCAGAACACTCCGTGATGGACCAGATAAAGATACTGAAAGCCTCAGCCTGCACAACTTTCTACTTTTCGATGAAAGTTCAAAGAAAACGCTCGGAACCCATTTAAATAAGTTATTTTGGGCCTCTAGACCCTTTTTCTCGAAAACTGTGAAGTTGTGAAGGTTGAGACTTCCAGAATTTTCTTTTGGTACATTAAGGAGGGTTCTGGCCTATTTTCAGGAAATTCTCAACCTACCCTTCCCTGTATATACGGAAACATTAAAAAAAGATCAACATAAGAATGGCTTCAAAAAGGGAATTTTTTCAAGCAGAATAGAAAGCTAGTAGAGAATACAGGTGATTCAGATCAATCTGGGAGTTTCACAAGGTTTTTGATGGGTACTGGCAAAAGGGTCCATTCTACCAGAGGTGGAGAAATGGCGCCCCTAAGCGTTTTTAAACGTTTACATTTCAAAACCGACGTAGCCCGCCATGGCCATTTCTTAATAAGTCGCTGCCCAGGGCGCCCGGGGCCAAAGCCGCGATGGCAAAAAACGCCATTGGAAGAAAAAATACGCGAAAAATTAGTATTTTCAAAAATTTTTCAAAATCGTTTTTTTCGAAGCTTTTAAATTAAAGGTTACTTGAAAATTCTGATTTTGTGGCGGCGGAAATTCCTTCTCTCAGCGGATCCCTAACCATAAATCTGAAACTTTTCGCCTAAAGCAAGAACAAATATGACCGCACTCCACATAGAAGTTTTAACTGGACATCATAACCACCAAACATTTAAAAAGATAGTGAAAAATTGCGAATACTAAGATTAAATGAAAAATTAATATAAATGACAATTTTCGCCTAACTTTTGCAACGTGGTATAGTCAATATTTCCCGACTTGAAAGGCGAAAGAGGCGGGGCAAGGGGCGGGACGCGTAGCGTGTGCGTTCGCGGTTCTTGGCACGAGTTCAATTTTATCACCGCCGACTATTTAAAAAGCTCGGCAACCGCTCTTTTTCAATGTTTTCTTTTTGATGCACACATGAACATAATCAATAAATAATTGAAAAAGGAATGAAAAGAGCGAAAAACGGGCTATTCAAGGAGTCGATGGCGGTAGAATTGAACACGTGCCAAGGACCGCGAACGCACACGCTACGCGTCCCGCCCCTAGCCCCGTCTCCCTCGCCTTTCAAGTCGGGAAACATTGACTATATTACACGCCATCGAAACATAATGACGCGGCTCATTTCATCTCAGGGGCCTGATGGCTGAGGCGGGCATGTTGCTCCCGGGAGGGCCCTTCATTTCTTCCACCTCTGCATTCTACTACGTGATCGACTGAAACTAACAAAATTCGTCATTTCAAAAGGTCCCGAAACGTATATTCCAATGTGTGGAGGGTCAGAAAATGAAGTTGTCATACGTGAAAATAAAGTAAAAGTTGAGTTTTCGTACGTGAAAGCTCACTTTTTGATCAAAAATCAAAGCAATGCAACATTTTCCACTTAAAAACTGAACTAAAAAGGGAAAATATCTTTCTGCAGACCTAAAATTGATTTATAACACAGTACAAAATAGAAAGTTTCAATCATTTGAAATTTAGGAATCGATAAATTCCTCTGCTTTCCTTATAAGGAAGGAGATTTAACTTTTTATTTGGGAACTTCTTCGAAATTGGCCGGAACACTCATTTGTGTACTAGAAAAAAAGCGTGAAACCTGCAGAAACTTTTTAGTTTTAAAGAAAATGGGGCTCAAAGCCTCAAAATGGCCCATTTTGACGGTTTCTTTGACTTTGCGGGGTTCATTTTCGAAAACTAGGGAGTTCTGCAGGTTGAGAATCCCAGAATCTTCTTCTGGTACATCAAGAAGTGTTCTGGCCGATTTTCAGGAATGCAAAGTAAAATAACCTTTCCTGTCAAGGTAAGCTCTTCATTGTAAAAAGCTTTTTTCGAATATTTGCATGTTGACAAGAAGTTTTCATGTTTGGTCAATGGGAGCAGCGGGATCAAGTTTCCTGTCTCGGGCTCCAGACGGTCCTCCGATGGCACAAAAAATGAAGGAAAAAAGAAAAAGGACCTCGGTCAATACAACGAGTGGACGCGTTTGTGAGTGATTGTTTTTTGTCTTCATGATTTTCGAGATAAATCTTGATGCGAACTTCGATTCCATCTGACTAAAACAACCAATAAATATTGATTGATTGATTGATTGATTGAAACTGCAAAAAAATTTTTCAGAACAATAACTTTTTTTCTGAAAAAAATGTTTTTTTGTTAGGACAATAAATCATAAAGAAAGCTCACGGTTTTTTTGAAAAAAATTTTTAGATTTTTGAAAGTGAATTGAAATCTTGAGCTAACAAGTTTTTCCTGAACATTCATGAATTTTTTTAAAATTCAAGCATTTTTTTGCTCTTTCCAAGTACTAATAATCAGCACCGGGCCATGATTTTTTTGAGAAAAAAAGCTTGCCAAGCCAGGCTTCGAAAAAAAGTATCACCGAAAAAAATTATTTTTTTATAGAAGAAATGAGCAAAAAGATTTTCTCGTTAGAAAAAAACTAGAAATTTGACTTGAAGAAAATTTGAGCTTTTTGGGCCGGGCCGACCTTTTTTTTTATTTTTGAGGCCTTCCTAGGGCCAAGCCGCGCTTGGAAAGTCGTCCCATAGGCCTCGCACAAGCTTGCTAGTAGCAAATACCAACTTTTTCTCAGAATTTACTGCGTTCTAAGGAACTTTGAAGCGTTCAATTTGCTCTTTTCATTAGGAAAACTGTAGAATCGTGAAAATTGTCTTTTTATTGAACTTTTCCGGGCTCTTAGAACTGTCGTCAGTGTGTAAGCACACGTACGTCGGACTCCAAGCTTTTTCAAACCCATTAGAATTTCTCTACGTATTTTCTGGGGTCCCGCCTCACGGAACATTTCCGCATTGGAAAAGGTGTCCGACGCCCTCGAACCGGCCCATTTCCGGGTGTGTTTGGCGAATGAAACACACACGCCCGATGCGACCGGTCCCGTGCCGGCGGCTCTTTTTCACCGCCGTTTGCTCTTTTGAGCTCAACTTTCACTCGAGTGCCCCGAGCTGATACCGACCCATCATTGGCCGAGTGTTTCTGAGGAGTTTCGGATCAGAAGAGAAGATAGGAGTTCCGAAAATTTCGGAGATTCGATGGGTAGACCGTTTTCAAAGGTCCCCAGCCCCTCCTTCTGGTTTTTTTATAAATTGAAATCAGTACTCAGTTCTTTGTCAAAACTGCCTCTCTGATCTTAAAATCAATTATTATACCTATTTTTCGAAATTACAAACCTCCTGGACCAACTGAGTTCTGTACTTGCCCAACCCAGGGGTTTTAGAGAGATCCCTATAGGGGCTGAAAAAGTGATCCCTATAGGGGTGAAAGTCTCTATAAGGGTTAGGGAAAAAACAACCCCTATAGGGGTCGAAAAAGTGATCCCTATAGAGATAAAAGCAAGGTGGTCCCTATAGGGGTTTAGGGCGTGACCCCTTAGCCCCTAAAGCTCATGTGGTCCCTATAGGGGTCTTTCAATTTTATTCAAAAAACGCTCATTATTTAGTTTTTCCCATGAAGAAGCTTCTTCGCATAGAGCTCATAAAAATTATCGATTATCGACCACTTTTGCCTTAGTGACCCCTATAGGGGTTGATAAAGTTGTCCCTAGAGGGGACCCTCCAAGAGCCTCTAACTAGGGAACTACTCAGACTCGCGTACGGGTTTTTTTTTTACAGTAAGGTTACCCCTAGAGGGGCCACTCTGGAGTTCCTAAGAAGTATAGATCTTAATAATCAGTTTAACCACTATCCTCATTTATTCAAGCCAAAAATGGGAGAGAAATTGTCGAAATTCAGGTCTCAATGAGTGATTTGAGCTTTTTTTTTCAAAATTATGAGATTTAAAGTTTTTTTAAAAAACAATTTTTCATTAATTTTTTAACAGATTTTGAAACTGGAAAGTTTTGACTAACTGAACCCTTCAATTTTTTTTTGAGGATTCATCATAGATTTTTTCGTTTTGGAGCCGATTATCCTTCTGATCCTGTCAGTAATCGTCCAGAAAAGAAAATAAGCCAAAAATTCTACAAATTCTGTACTTTTTTGACATGGAAGCTTATCTTGAATCTCAAGTACTTGAATTTAAAGAGCTGATTTTAGTTTCATATTGGTCCCTTCAATACAAAAAGTCAAAACGCAGCCGAAAATCTTTTTTCCCCGTAGACTCTATTCTTGACCATCTTTTCCCACTCGCAATCGAAAACCGGTTGACTTTGGGTGGACGGCACAAAAAGTGCTCCGCGAGCCGCTTTTCACACCCTTTTTTTGCCGTCGGACAATGCTCCCCCCGAAATGTTGCCTTTTTGCTCTTGGAAAGGGGAGACCAAAGGAATTCCATTCACTCGGAGACCATTCACGAGTGGAATGCCTGATAAAAAAGAGAATAATAGCCGCTAAAGTGCCGACTTTTGTGCTCCAAGGCTAACTTCCGCAGTTGAAGGGGCTCGAGAAAAAGTGCGGCAGAAATAGCCTCAAGAAAAGTCTTTTTTATGCTCCAAGGCTAATTTTTGTTCGATTATTGAGAGGGGAAAATGACCGCTTTATAAATACATGTTTCGGAATTTTGAGAAAATGACTTTTTTTTCAAAAATAAAAACGGAAAAAAAGCCACTAACGGCTTATTTTTCGACAAAAAGACCTCAACAAAATCATCGACAAAGATGAAAATGTGCTCCACGGCTAATCCAGTCAATATTAAGCTTATCAGTTTGAAAATTTAATTTTTTTTTTCCGAAACTTTCACTTTAAAGTTCAAAAGGTAGCCGAATATGAAAGCTGTGAAAAAAAGGCCTGAGAAGAAATAGCCTCTGAAAACGGTGATTTTTTGCGCTCCAACGCTAATTTCATGAGAAGAAGAATTTACTGATTAGAACGATCAAAATTCATTTTTTTTTCCGCCTCTAAAGTGTTGTTCAAAAATTCAATCCCTTCATTTTTGAAAAAAATGCGCTCCATGGATAACGTGGACGAGCGGAGCTTCGTACTCAGGATTTTTTCCCATTTTTAAACGATTTTTTTTTTAAATTTCCTGCGATCTATTCCTAAACAGACAGCCAAACTACACAGGATATTTTAGAAACACAAAACAAACAGACAAATATTCTGAAGGACAAGGCAAATTTCTCCGGCGGGTGTGATAAAAAGATTGCGCGCGAGAAAACGCGCCCCGCCGCCAACAATCTGTTTGTTTTATTCACTTTTTTTTTTCTCTCGTCGCAATCCCATCGATGGGCGATCGAGATCCGGCCTATCAAACAAACTATCACACACGCAAGCACCTCACACGTTGGACTGGACCTTTTGTGACGTCAAAGGGGAAAATGGGCTGTTTTTGAGCGATGGGGCGCATTTGGCCAAAGGAAATGAACTTTGGGATAAAGAACCGATTTTTGAAAGTTTCCGAAGGTTTTCTGGGTTTCCTAGCTGTTTTTATCCTTGGAGCGCACTTGGCTGAAACAAATGAGCCGTGATAGGAAAGCCGATTTGTAGATTTTCTGTAAAATGGCCAGGTTTAAAAATTTTTTCATCCTTGGAGCGCATTTGGCTAGAGAAAATGAGCCGTGGGATGAAGAGCTGATCTTTTAAAAGTTTCCGAAGGTTTTCTGGGTTTCCTAGCTGTTTTTATCCTTGGAGCGCATTTGCCTAGAGAAAATGAGCCGTGAGGTAAAGAGCCGATCTCTTACAAGTTCCTGTGAAACGGACAAAACGGTAACTTGTTTAAAGGAAGCTTGTTTTTATCCTTGGAGCGCATTTGTCTAGAGAAAATGAGCCTTGATATAACTGGGTTTCCTGTGAAAGTTTCTTAAAGATGGCCAGCTTTTAAACTATTTTTATCTTTGGAGCGCATTTGGCTTGAGAAAAAGAGCCTCGAAATGAATTATTGAAGGTTACTAAAAGATGGTCAGGTTTATAATTTTTTTCTTTTTATTATTTAAATAAGTTTTAGAACCTTTTTTTCGCCTTGGAGCACATATGTCTTTGGAAAAACTGCCGCTTTTTGAAATTCACCCGGAAAATGGCTCTATCTCTTTCCAGCTCAGCTTCAAACTCCGAAGAAAAAAGAAAAACCAGAAGCCTTTTTCCTTCGAAAAAAAAAACTTCAACTTGACAACTTCTCCAAACAAAACAAAAAACTCTTGAAAAACAAAATTGAATCAACTCTCGGTCAGAACAAGTATTTCTCACTTTGAGAAAAAAAAAGACAACTTCTTTGAAGAAAAGAAGCTTTGTTTGATCAGATAAAACAACAAAGAAAAGGCCGCCAAATAGAATTAAGTGATCCCTGAAGGGCTTTTGAGTAGTTGAGTGTCCTCTAGTGACCACTTCGGACGAAAAAAACTCAAATCACAGTTGATTAATTACTTTTTGAATGTACAAACAGTTCAAAAAAAGCTGAAATTGGAAGTTTTGAGGGGAATTTTTTTCAATTTTACAGCTCGAAATTTCATTTTTTAAGAGCGATAAGGTTCATTTATTATTTTTTTAAATTTATTAATTTTAAAATTACTTTTTATCAAACGTAGAATGCAAGCGAATCAAAAAAATGACCAATTTTACAGCATTGATGAAAAAATTTTCAAGTCCAAGGAACGAACTGGGAAAAAATTAGGAAAAAAAGAAATTTTTCAGGGTTTGGCCTTAGAAACGCAGAATATAAAAAAATGTTTGAAAAATCATTTTTCTATACTAACTTTTTGAGTTCAAGGTGCTCTTTTTTTCTTTCAAATCGTCTTTTTATCAAGTCTAGCCCTAAAGTGGTCACTTAGGCTTTTCTTAAGGACTGGTAGAGCCTATAATCATTGGAAGTACATAATTTCGAGAAAACTACATTTTTCAAAGTTTTTCCGGCCTGGTATGGTAATCAAATGAGTGGAGCTCAGACTACGCGTGAGAACGGTTTTTCGTCTTGAGAACTTTAAATAATTTAGCCTATGCTCCTTTAAATTAGAGGTTATTGGAGCCTTTAATCATTATTAGTGTATAATTCCGAGCAAACTACATTTTTCAAAGATTTTCCTGCTCGTTATAGTAATACATGACGCGGAGATCAGACTACGCTTGAAAAAACTGAAAGAGCGGCTCTTCCCTTTGAGACCTTAAGCAATTTCACCTATGCTCCTTTAAATTAGAGGTTATTGGAGCCTTTAATCATCATTGGTATATCATTCCGAGTGAACTATTTTTCTCGAGGTTTTTTCCGGCACGGTATGGTGATCATATGAGTGAAGCTCAGACTACACTTGAGAACTTTTTTTTCGTCTTGAGACCTTTTATTAATTTTGCCTATGCTCCTTTAAATTAGAGGTTATTGGAGCTTACAATCATTAGCAGCACAGGATTTCGAGCAAACTTCATTTTCAAAAAAAATTTCCGGCACCATAGCTTAAACTACGCTTGAGAACGGCTCTTCGCTTTGAGACCCATTACGAATTTCACCTCTGCTCCTTTAAACTTGTTGGCTCTTTTTTTTATTGGGTATCCAGCTTGAGGCGTGTTGGACTTAAATTATTGTTTGGAGATTTTCAAATGGCTTTTAATTTTCTGATTATCCGCTAGAAGTTAACTGGAAATTTTCAAATTTGGTAAAAAATAGATCATTTTTGACTTCACCTGGTACCTTTTTGACCGTATAGAATGGCTTGCAGCTTAAGCTTCAATTTGAAAATTAATTTTTCTCTAAAGCTCCAAAATTTCGAACCAACCCATAAAAACTCAACTGAGAAGCTCAATCAAACCACAACATCGGAAAACCGAAAATTATAGGGTAAGAAGGGGGGAAAAAGATGGGATTTGACCCATTTTTGAGATGGATAATGTGAAGCGTCTCCACACACGTCCAGCTCTTCTCAATGTGTGTGTGTGCTCGGCGGCTTTTTTTCGCCTCGTTTTTTGTTCGTTTTTGCATTTCTTCGGCGGCTCGACTCGGATGGAGACGCCCCAGAGGCGCGCCCCGGTCGCCGGTATAAATGGCCGTCCGTGCCGCCGGAAACCTCACTTCGACCGCCTTCCCAATTTTTATATATTCTCATCGGGTCTCTTTATTTTGATCATTTATCTATCCCTGTAGTGCTTGGAAGTCCTCTTTTTTTCACAAAGTTCAAAAGGACGGCTTTTTCAAAGTGAAACCAGGACGATCAAAAAGAGGGATCTACAGTAACCACAGTAATTTTTTATTGAATCAGTTAGTGGGGAATAGTCCATTATGCGATTCGTCTAGACTCCTTTCAAGAACTTTAAGCAAACCTTCTGAGATTGACCTTCAAAAAAAGACTGTTTCGAGACCCAATTTCGACCTTTGTGCCTTGAAATAGCCTTCTTGAGTCGAGGGGATCATTCAGGATCCGATTTCTGACCTCGGATCATTCCTTTGCCTTTCTTGAAGCTTCCAAAATTTCTTTTTTCACGAAAACGGGAGGGGGGCTCTTTCGAAGTGAACCTAGGACGATTAAAAAGAGGGTTCTACAGTAACCACAGTAATATTTTATTGAATCAGTTACCCTTTTTAAGCCAGAAAGATCTTTTTCGAAACGTCCAATGGGATCCGAATTCGGACCTTTGACCATTCCTTTGCCTTTCTTGAAGCTTCGAAGATCTCTTTTTTCACGAAAGGGGGACGTTTTCAGTGTACCTAGGACAATCAAAAATAGGAATCTACAGTAGCCATAGTATCATTTCTTTGGTTAATTTTTCGAAAACCTTATTTGCTCCTTTTTGAGTGTTTTTAATCAACTTTTAGTGAAGAAAATTGAAAAAAATAAAGGCAAAAAAATATTTTTCTTTCCCTTTGGTTTACTCATTTTTTTCAACATCAAGCTTCCAAAATGAGCTCCGTTTTCTGATTTTGTAGTTTCTGAACAATGATCCTTTTTTCGAAAATTGCTCTTTCGACTTTTTTCTGCTCTCTAGCCTTCACAAAACTCGATCTTTCCAGGAAAACCCGAGGAAATGCTCCGGTCAGCGGTCTGTGCGGTCATCGTCGCCCTCGCGGCTGCCCAAGTTCCAGGTATTCCGCCCAATCGAGCCTTTTTTTCTGAATTTTGCGCTTTTCATGTAGTTTCCTTGAGTAGAGATTGCTGAAGAGGTCAAAAATTGAGCTTTTCGATTTCTGCCGTTCTTTGCCTTTCACAGTTGAGAATAAAAATATAGCTTCAGAAAATTTAGAAGCCCATTCCTTCTAATTTCCGCTACACGAAGCATTTATTTATGCCTTTTTTCCTGTTTTCCTCCCTTTGGAAAAACGGAATTAAGCGAAGAATAATTGAGTCGTCGGCTTAATTCTTGATTTTGTAGAGGCCTTCTTCGATTCGCATCAAATTAAAAGGCTTTCTGGGGGCTTGAAATGAGGGAAATGTGATTTTTGAAGGTGTTTCACTAGAAATTAGCTATGAAAAAGCTTTTTTTCACGAAGTCTTTGGCTACTTATAATAACTTTCTAACGTTCTTAAGGGATTTTATGAACAAAATTGGACTTAAAAAACACTTTTTTGAACTTTGTATGCAGTTTCGTTGGTTCTCAGCCATTTTGAAGCATTCTTTTTGATCAAATTACTTTCAAAAGTTCGATTTTTAGGCTCCAGAGCAGTTTAAAACGAAATTTAACCTTTTTTCCGGTTTTTTTTCCGATTAAAAATCGCTCAATCTGATGCATTTCAAACTGAACTGTACTTTGCTTCAGTATCCAGTTCAAATTCCAAAATTTCAACTCCAAAAAAGCTTCCGGAACGTGTGTCGGCAAACACTTGCGGCCGTATTTGCTCCGCTTGTTTCCGCATTTTTCGCCCCGGCAAATAGAATCGAAACGCCGATTTCAAAACAAAACATTGGCCGGTTTCTGTTTCTATTGTCCATGGCAGGGAGCCAAAAAATAGTTGCCATGGAAGCCAGCTGCGCTGGGAAGAAAGTGCGCTCCAACGAACTTTTTTAAAATGAATTTTTCGGAAGTCGATAGGAAAAAAAGATGAATTTCCTTTGTTTCAATCGCAGAAGAATCGTTGTAAAAAAAATCATGGAGATTCACGACACTATTTTTTTCTTTTTAAAAATGTTTTGTAATCTTTTTCACTTCTAATAATAGAAAAATGATCGTTGAAGAATCAAAAATCCTCAAAAAATCAGCACTGACTTTCAAAAATCCATTAAAATGCTCACAAATGCAGTTTTAACCTTGAAAATTGTAGAAAAATTCAATTTACGGACTGTAAATACTCACAAATTCATTATTATCACATAAAAAACGAAGAAAAGGTTCAATATTCACATCAAAAATGGAAAAAAGGATCAAAAGCCCACATTTTCTCACAGAAAGCTTCCATCTTTTTTGAAAAACCTAAATTATCTTCTTCAGTATCCTTCGAAAATCTATACGGATCACAAGAAGCTACCAAAAGCTCACCCCCACCACGACCCCCTCACCCAACCTTAACCCAACTTCTAGCCTGGTCATCTCTTTACGGTGGCTTTCCAGTGGCTCCGATGTACTCGGCCTGCGGCCCGACGGTCGCCTGCGCGGCGCCTTCCGTCTGCCAAGCGTCGGTCTGCGTCCCAGTAGCCGCCGCTCCGCCAGTCCTCGCTGCTCCCGCTCCAGTCCCGATGTACGCCCCGGCCCCGGTCCCTGTCCCGGCCCCAGTCGCCGCTCCGATGTACGCCCCGGCCCCGGCTCCAGTCTACGCCCCGGCCCCGGCGCCACTCCTCGCCCCGGCTCCAGCTCCTCTCTTGGCTCCTCCAGCTCCAGTCGTCGCCGCTGCTCCCGCCTGCGCCCCAGCCTGTCTCGGAGCCGCTCAGTGAGTTTCATCAAATCTCTTGATTACGGAGTTTGAGAGCTTGAACTCTTCGAAAAAAGACTTTTGGGCTTATGGAGAGCTTCATGAGTCAGTCTTCAGGCATTAGTTAGAACTTTTGAAGCAGCCTAGGCTTCTCAAAGATTCTAGGAGATTTAGGAGGTCTTTTTGAGAATCTTGAGATGGAACATGAGGTCTTTTTTGTATTGTGAAAAAAAGTAGAACAACCTTAATGTTCTGGAACTTTTTTGGGCCCGAAAAGGGGCAGAATTTTGAAAGCTTGGAACTTCTCAGAAGCTTGTTCCGTTCTAAACGCATACTTGCAAGAACTCTTCTGAAGTTTTTTCCGGTTAGATACAATTTTTGAGTGCTTCTTGAAAAATTCAGAGCTTTAGCTGGTATTCGGGTAGAACCGGACGCTTCCAGGCTTGGTATAGAAAATATTGTGAGCTTGATCTGTTTTGAAACGGTACTCAAACCTTTTTCAAGCCTAAGATAACTCCTAGGATCTTCCAAAAGAGTCCCAGAGGATTATCCTTCTCAGAAAGCCGACTATACCCCACCCACGTTCAGATGCGTCGCCGGAGCCTGCCAGTGCGCCCAGCCAGCGATCGCCTACTCGCCAGTCATCGGCTGCTCGCCCCAGATCCCGGTCGCTCCAGTGCCAGTCGCCCCCGCTCCAGTCATTGCCGGCCGTCTGATCCCTCAGGCCCTCCCCGGAGCCCCATGCGAGCCCGGAGTCGAGTGCACCGGCGGCTCGGTCTGCTCCGTCGGCGTCTGCCTCTGCCCACCTGAGCTCGTCCAGGAAGGCACCGTCTGCGTCGCCCGCACCATCTACGGCGTCGTCCCGCCACCGACCATCGTCGTTCCAGCCCCCGTCGTCGCCCCCGTCGCCCCACTCGTACCGGTTTGACCTTCTATTTTTTCTTGGCATACAAGAGAAACTCCCATAGCCCACTTATACCCCTGAAAAGAACCCAAGAACCAAGAAATTCTCCCAGGTCGCCCTCGGATCACCCTGCGCCCCAGTCGCCGCCGCCCCACCATGTGTTTCCGGCGCCGTCTGCTCCTCGGGAGTCTGCCAGTGCGGACCCGCCTTCACCCCAGTCCCCGGAGGCTGCGTCCGACGACGTGAGAACCTTTTTCCGACCTTCTAGATGGTTTTGAGAGCTCGAAAATGGTCAGAGTAGGTGTTGAAAAGGCTAGAAAGGGCTTTTTCCGAGCTTCAGAGTGATTTTGAAGATTTGAATTCAGTTTATCATTGGAAGAAGGTTTTTTTTAGCATTTTTTTTAAAGCTTCAGAATTGCCTTTTGAAGTGATTTTTAAGATTTAATACGACCGGAAAGCTGTGAAGATACTAATTTTCTTAAGATTTATGGTTATTCCGAGCTTCAGACCGATTTTAAAGCTTCAAATTTGATTTTCTGTTTCAAAAGAAGTCTTGATTAGACTAGAAAATAGTTTTCTTGATTTATCGTTTTCTCTGGGTTTCAAGGTGATTTTTAAGGCTCTAAATTTAATTTATTACTTCAAAAAAAGTCTTGATCAGACTAGAAAGTGATTTTTCTCAGATATTAAAAGCTCATAAGAAAAAAATGAAAAAAAGTCTTTTTTTGAGCTTTTTTTCGAAAAATGTACAGAAAAGATCTGAAAAAAAGTTTATTTTTTTCTCCCTTTTTTTGTTATATTTCAAGTTAAAAAAATTTTTCGCTCATAGCTGATTTATTACTCCAATTTCAACGTGAAACCTGAAAAGTTGAATTCCGCGCTTTTTTCAATTTCCAGTGTTTAAAATCACTTTCCTGTATCATACTGAATATAGAAAAAGAACCTAATAGTTTCCATTCAGTAATCGTACTTTGTCAAGATTGATTGATTATTACAGGACACCGCAAGGACGAGTCCAAGGAAGAGAAGCACTAAAGTGCCCCCTCAAACATGGTCACACAAAAATGAGAAAAAGTATCGCAAGGAAAAAAAACAACGCACAATAACATATTTAATTTTTTCCTGATTGTTTGATCCTTTTTCTCTCTCATTTTTTCCGACACCTCTCCCCATTCCTCCAAGTTTTCTGTACAAATCAACGCTTCGGTATTATTTCATTCTGGTTGTGGTTCTTTTAATTATGTATTTTTTTCTTTCATTTATTACTCTCTGTAATAAACTTTTTCCGTTCATCTTTGTGATGAGTTTTGTGCGGTTTTATTCCAAGAAGAAGGATCCTTTTCAAATTATCCAAAGTGGTCCCTATAGGTCCCACTAAAGCTTGCAAAAGGGGCCCTATAGGGTGGCATCCTATTCCTTTATTGTTGCGAACATTAAAGCTATCAATGCTTCGAGGTCAGACCCTAACCTCGACAGGGACCACTTAAATTTAACCCCTATAGGGAGCACTTTTTAACCCCCTATAGGGAGCTCTTTTTGTCCTTTGTGAGGGACTATTTTTTGCCCTAATCCCTATAGGAACAACTCTAACGTTCTTAAAAAAACACTTTTTAAAAAAATAAACAAGCGCCAACAGCTTTGTAAATCGGTCAGCCGCACTTTAAAAGCGTCCGCATTTTAGAGATTTTGATAGAATCCTCTTGAGAAAAAGCATCTTCATTAGTTTCGGCAAAAACGCAAAAAAAAAGATTTTAAGTTTTATTTAGATTAACAGAAATAATAATTTTTTTATCCCATGCCTTTTTTTTGGCTATAAAGGGCTCTCGCAGCATTCAAAAACGAGATACAGTGTGTTTGACGCATACACACCGACGCCGACTCGCACAAATTTTTCGAAAATTTCGAAAATTCCCCTTTCTCAGGCACTGACGGCGCGTGTTTGTTGCCAAAAGTGCGCATGCGCGCCGCCTGCTGCGCGCACGCGCGGGGTGTCTCTTTTGTTTTTTTAGCTTTTTAACTAATTGAAAAGTTATAAATTTAATATTTTTCATGTCTGTTCATCTCTCAACATTGCTCTGCACCAGTTTATAACAATTAGATTGCCCAAAAATTTTAAATATCAAAGTTTCACTTGGCAATTCTTTTTTTCATAAATTTGTTCGAAAGTGCTCGGAACAACTTTAAAACGTGAGCAGGGACACAAGGTAGTATCACAAAAGTATAAAAAATCTATTTCAAAACCGTATTTCAGTGAAAAAGGCGAAAAAAGAATCAGTACCCCCGCGCGTGCGCGCACCAGTGCCTGAGTTTTTCGGTCTTCAATTCATCGTTTAAATTTTGCATTACCATATTTTTTCATTTTTTCTTTCTATCGAAGAAAACCTTTATTGCAATTAAAAATCTTCAATTTGTGGCGTGAAGGCTTTGCGCTTCTTATTTAAATCAAAGAGAAATTGTTTCTTTTCTGTGAATTAAAGACGCCATTGATCGTTTTAATATCGTAATTCTTGAAATGTTGTCACTTTTTATTTCAGAACGTCTGTTCAAATGGATCATCAAGAAGGACGTGAATCTTTTCAGCTTTTTGGAGGTTTTATTTCATTCCAGTTATAATTTTTAATTTTCTTTCGTTAAATGCAGCCCCAGGAGCATTCAGAAAGCATATTTCATTCACAAAAGCTTTCAGAGAAGTTTAAAGGCGCAGGAGGGAGTTTAAAAGAGGCTCTGCTCCTTTAAAAATCTAAATAGCTATTGTTAACGTTTTTTTCACTTTCGACAGTTTCACCTTGGATGGAAAAAAAAAACAAAACTAACTTTTATTACATTAAAAAAATTACTAGTACCAAAAAAAAATATTTAAAATCACAGTTAAATTTAAAACACGTAGTGTGGGTACACGTATAAATAGAGAAACAACGAAAATAAGATTTAAAAAAATTGATAATAAAAAAAATTATGGAGAATCGGAAATACTCATGGCGGCGATAGTCTTTCGAATGTCTTGAGCCATGGATTCAGCCGTGGGAAGATCCCTTTCGTCAAGCGCGACTCCACTGAAAATTAATTTCCTATTATGCTGATAGGGGTACAGATGATTCACGGCTGGCTTGAAAAATCGAAAAAAAGGTCCTGAAACAATAATGCACGAGATAGTGCCTGACTGGTGGAGAGCGCAGACAAGCCACGCCCTTTAACGTCCCAAGCTAGCCGTGAATCAGGTATATTTGGAAGATTATCATTGGAGCGTAGCCAGAGCTTTTTTCTAGCTACTCGGACCTTGGTAACGCGAACGGGACGCGAATCGGACGTGTCGGGGCATTTCTAGTGACTACTTTAGGGGCCTCAGCGCTCTTAAGTGATCCCTAGAGTTGTTCAGAAACGTCCGGAGCACGTCCGTTTCGCGTGTCCGAGTAGTTCTGTGGTTTAACTTTTTATTCTTCCGGAGTTTTGAAAACTCTTTTTGCAGTCTTAGGCGGACAGAAAACGGTTTTGAATGAATTTTGAACTCATAATTTAAAGGCAGTTCTTATTTTAAAAATATGTTTCACAGCCAGTTTTTTTGGAATTTTAGAGGTGTCGAAATTACGGAAAATGACTACATGTGGTATTGATTTTCAAAAATTTTCATAGCAGTGATTCGAATTTTTGAATATTCCATGTTTTTTTAGAAACTCACCAAGCTCTGCCCGTGTTCAAAATGAGTTTTCGGAACACGTCAGAATTCGCGTGTTCGAACGGTGTTCCAGAGACGATGATGTATTGGAAAATGGCCTGACGCATCATCGAATAGTCTGAAAAAAACATATTTTTTTAAAACAAGAAGATAATTTTTTTCAAAATTTGAGAAAAATACACTTCAAGACGTTTTTTTATATTTCAATAGTCTGCCTGGGTCGTTTAAAGAAGCTTATGACACACTGGAAGAGACTTTTCGCTTCGGGACCTTTTTGAAGTTTGAATTTTCATGTCTTTTGTGATTCAGATGAGATTGAACTCGTATTTTTCTGAATATTTTTTTCATATTAGGCTGTTGATGTTCCTTTAAACGACCTAGCTAGGAATTTCGTGTGAATTTCAATTGATTCGAATTTAATTTTAGGAAAAATGTTAGTTGATTTGATGTATTTTTCTGCGATTTCCAAGGCATAGAAACGTTTAAACCAAGCGCTATGTAGCTGATTTACGGCTGGCTTAAGTCATCGGAAAAAGGGTCCTGACACGATAATGCACGAGACAGTGCCCTGCTCGTGGAGAGCGCAGACAGGCTACGCCCTCTTAACGTCTCAAGCCAGCCGTGAATCGACTATATAAAGTTTCACTGTGTCGTCTCAAAAAAGATTTCGAGCTTCTCCCTGCGCCTTTAACAATTCTGCTCCGTTTTCTTACCAATTCTCTGTGGTGGAGTGACGGATTGCACTGAAACAAAAGTAGGAGGAGTCGAAGAACCAGGTCGAGGATAAGGGCGGATTTTTCTGGAAGGGCAGGTGATCATCACGTGGCGCCTGGAAATTGTTTCGAATAATCGATTTTTTTAGAAAATTTTTTTTCCACTTTTTGCAATACAAAAAATGACCAGAATTGGGTAGATTTTAGATAATGAGAAATATTTTGAAAAACCGTTCATCGCTGTCTTTCACACGGCCGCATTTCAATCATTGATTTAAGTCACGGCAACTTGTCACATTACTTTCTTCCAAACTACAGTACCCTTCCTTTCAATGCGCGCGACCCTTCTGGGGGCATGCGCCTTTAAATCAGATAAACTTCTCAGCTTTATTAAAGGCACATGCACATAGACAAGCTGCGCGCATTGAAGGGAAGGTTCTGTAGGGAATGGAAAATTGTGACAAGCTTGCGCGGAACGGACTTTACTTCAACTGTCCGCCTCTGGTTTTCGTTGAAAGGAGCTTGTTGCAACGGCAACACTGTACATGCATCAAATCGTTGCCTTCCTTATCACTGATATGAAAAAAAGCGTATCCAAACTCTCGCTTTGCTGAAAAAAATATTATTAATTTTTCTTAATAGTTCCTTTCAAAAAAATCCTTTTTTTAGTGTTTTCAAAGGAGCAAAAATGTCAGACGAACAAAAAAAACAGCTCTTCGTCTCGAGACTTTTTTCGAAATAAGCCATGCTCTTTTAAACACCACAGCTAGGATTCTCGAACAAACTACGATATTTCGAAATACCTTGCTTTGAAAATTTCCCGCCGCTATGTAGCCCATAACTTGCGTTTTCGTGTATTCGGCTGGAAATTTCACAGAATTATTCAATTTAACTTTAAGAAATTACGTTGCACTACGAACTTGATCTCCTCGGCAGCGTCCATATTCATTCCGTAATTTGGATAAGTCCTGAAAAATTCAACGTTTTCTCGGAAAACCATCGCAATTCGAATTCCTAAACTCTATAGCCTGTTCAGATTTTAAAATCTAAGTGCTCGCTCAAGCTCCGCCCCTAATGGCGCGATAAACCAATCAGAGAGCGAACCATCCACAGAGTGTTTTCGAATGACGTCATTCTACTTGACATTCAAAAACTGAACGGACTATATGCTTTGTTCAAAGCGAAATTCGAAATACCCGTCAGAGTGTGAAAAAGATAACTAAATTTTGGGGAGTCAGAGATAATTTTGGATTTCGCGGAAATTACTTCGAACACGGCACTAAAGCTGATTCACGGCTGGCTCAAGCTAGCGAAAAATTGGGTCCTGACACGATAAAAGAAGAGAAAGCGCCTGGTTGGTGGAGAGCGCATACAGGCCACGCCTCCTCCCAAGTCAGCCGTGAATCGGCTATAGAACCCTGCTGTGAACGACCTTTGAACGTTGTGAAGGAAAGAAAACAATCGAAAGAGAATGAAAATTGAGAAAAACTGAAAAATGAGTTGGGGCTGTGTTTGGCAACACGTGGCCAACGTGGCGGGCCACGTTTGTTTTGATTATTTTTGAGTCAAACTTTTTTTTAATTTCAAGTTAGATACCAGTAGTTAGGAACTCCAGAGTGGTCCCTATAGGGGCAACCTTAGGTGTCCTTGGAGTGGCCCCATTTAAATTGAGAGATCCCTATAGGGTATACTTGAGCTTTAGGGGCTAAGGGGTCATACTCTAAACCCCTATAGGGATCATTTTTTTTTGGCCCCAAATTGGTTGTTTTTTTTATAGATTTTAACAGGCAAAAAAATCTCCTATAACTGCGCGCCAGTTGCGCTAAGCCACGCCCACTAGCCACCCTCTCCAACCTTTTTGAAACGTCGTGAATGA